TGCCCTGCAACACACACGTGGGATCGTGCCCACGCATGGCCCACCATGCCTTCCATCCTTCCGGGATCAGCAGACTGGCACTAGATTTGTTTGGGATAGAGGATAGCAGCACGGGCTCTATACATCGGTTAACCACCACGAGTCATTGTAAAATCAGATATGAATTCAATTATATATATGTAATGTTATGTACAATCTTACTCATCAGCTCATGTGATCGCGGTATCAGTTATGTGGTGGTTTACGTACGGCGTGGCGATTTGGCGACATATTTACAACTGACGGAATTACTAAGTTACATTATGTGAAAGCTCTCAGTCGTAGTGAAAAGAGTAGTGTGTTTTAAAGTTTATTAATGTGTTAGAATTTAAAGTAAGAGTAGTTACATTCAGTGTATTTTCGCCATTTTATGGTACCAACAGCACAAATGTTTGGATCTGTTTACATCGTAACATTGAGTTTGACAAGATTAGATAAGATTAGATTGCCGCAATTTTGTAGATGCTTCTTCGAATGATTCGGAAGGTGTGATCGGCCCTTTATGAAATACGGAGCATGTGTTGTCAAACAGAAATTCGGTTAACCAGTGCTGCTAAACGACGTTGCTGATCTTAGAGCATTTTGTCGATTTCTTGATATTAGTTCGCTACTCATCCCAGCGGTTTACTTCCTAATTGTGGCTGAGAGGTGCTCCTGAGTGTCAGGCTACGAGGTACAGCGGAGGAATTCATCCCCCGGCAGGATTTCCCCAAGCTGAGTCCGGCGTTTCCAGCAGCAAGCAAAGCTAAGAGTAAACCAGTACCAGGATCCACCACCGTCTTGGTATCAAACTAGTTGCATGATGCTAAATATCCTTGTGATCCACAAGGGCGGCGACTGTTTGTGGTAGTGACAACCTGAGGTAGACTTTAGCCAGGCTGACCTCGGGACTCCAGTGAAACACACTGGCTAAACAAGCAAAACTCCGGAAAGTGGGAATATGCTAAGCACGCACAACCATTGAGGAAGGACCGTCCGAGCATCCAAGTAAGTTTGCCACTGCACTCACTTCATTAGGATTCGTTACACTACAGTGCACGGAAAGTCACGAAGTTCTTTTCACCGAACTCCTTTTTAGAATTATATTTTGATCCCGGTGTTTTAAATTTAGTATTCTAGGTCTAGTTTTTCCGTAAAGTTTCAAATCGTTGCGCATGGATCTGAACGAATTAATGTTTTAAGAAAGTTATTGTCAGTAGATTCTAGAGTAGAGCAGACTCTCAGATCTCAGTTATCTTCGAAGCTAAACGTGTATATCGTATGTTTTTTGTAGGCAACGTCGCACACTCGTTACTACTGTAAGCCGATTAAGTGCTTCTATTTTGACGTTCGAACGCATGGGAAAATTCATTCAGCATCGTTTTTTCATCGTTATCCCAATAGCTTTGATTGGACATAGCCTATCAAAGAGAATTTATCCTGTGTATACATATTTACACGTAGAAAGGGAGAAGTGCGTTCTTGTGCAAAGAATTTTGCATGTTCCACCAAAGTGTGTACTTTTGGTCCGTCGTTACTCCAGGCCTCAAACTTCGAGGGCTGATAAATAACGAATACTGTTTCTACTAATAATCTTCGTTGTGAGTCGAACTAAGCATTATTTTCGCATCCGCCGAGTTGGGATGATTACACATCGTCCGTTATGTGTTAAATTTGCAAGAACTGTTATATTTAGTTGTTTATTGTCGTTGTCACTTATTTGGTGGCAAATGCCTTAAATTGGTGCATAGATCATTCTTACTTGTGGTCAACCTTTTATATGCCCATTCTTGTATGAGAAAAACTCGATAGCGCATTTCTTTAACACATTACTACCAATACTGGTTTCCCGACAACTGACGGTGTATTTTTGATCACTTAGGAAAGTGAAGTGGAGTACTTCACATGCCGACAAATAGCTGCTTCGCTCGGTAGCCTTACGCATGTGCGTATATGTACTTGGAGACTTCGACGACCCACATTCATGATTTGTGCTGGTTCCAGCATATTTTTATTTGTTTCTTTGCGTCGAAGTAGTCGTTCATGGTGGCGGTTTGATTGGAGCATCCTCGAGATGCGAGTTTCATGCGATGATCTGTAAAATAATCACAGCTGCAAGTACAACTGATTGACTTTAGTTAGTAACAGGTTCGCCCAACATGAAGGTGGTCGACCTACGGTACGCCTGCTTCCTCGTGGAGTCCGCCCCACAGTTTTTTTTGTCCATCTGTCGTCTGTTCTTTTCGTTCTATGACCGACACATCTGTATTTCGATAATGTGTGTTCGCGAGGGTCTCGAAGAGGAGATAAATTTCAAAGGTCAGGGCTTCGCATTCCGGCTAGATATTATGTGTGCCGGTTATGTTTCAGAGAACATCTAATGCTACGTGAGTATGCTGAAACAACACGTGAAATGTTCGAAGACCATCGTGAACGAAGAATACGGGTAAATCGAATCGATTCCAAGAAGTGCAGAGATCCGTGCAGTAGGTGTGAATACGGGCTATGTAAAAGAAAAGAATTAAAAAACTTAACCGTATATATATATATATATATATATATATATCAGTTTCACAGACAAGTTCCCAACGGTTAATTTCCTGCTTTGGTGAACGACTGATACACCATGGTGATTTGCTTGTGCTGTTGTGTCAGAAATTACTTATCTATTCCTGATCAAGTCTCCGGTATATTTCGAAAAGGTCGTATACTCTCCAGGACGGTTCCGACGAAATATCTTGGTCGCGATGTGCGTGTTTATGTCACTACCTGTTTGCTTAGTGCTGGAAAAAAATGCGCCCTCCTTCGCCTGCGCCGACTTGTCTTATTTGTGTTTCCTTTTTTTGGCTTAATATTACCGTCGAATTTGACGTGTTTTCATTTTAGTGCTTTAAGTCCTTATAACCTCGTATCGTTGTTGAGACAAGAAATCGATGGGGAATACTTCCGTTCGTCTTGTACACGCCTCTTTCTCCTTCATTCTTCTTCTTCTTAGTATCGATCGTTAATGAAAGTGGAGACAGGGTAGTGACAATTAATTACTCTGATTCTTACAATTACAATTATAGTGAATAGTGTGCTAATACGTCTAAGTGGCAGTGTCGGTGGATGTATTGTTGGGACACTGAAGTTGATAAGATACAGTAAAGGACGTGCGACCGTCGCCTACACACAAAACATATACGCACACTCACACACGCACATACACTATCTTGTTTGATTTGGAATCGATCTCCATTATATGTCCATTTCCCGTTGTTAGCTCGATTTCCGTAGGTTTTACTAGTTGGGACTTTTTTGTGGGCGTTTCGATATGTATGTGATTTATGACGTTGCCATTTTGTGGAACACTGATTCTTGGCGTTTATGTTTCACATCCATCTGGAGCGATAACGGGTTTGGCTTGTGCGTGAATTCGCGCGCCCGATTTTCTCTTCATTTAGATCGATTCACTGGGGATGCAACTATTCGCTTTGTGTACTGTTTCACTGTTTTCTCATTCGCTCTTTTCTCTCAGGTTCTGAATTATCATTTCATTCTGTTATTACTCTTTTGTTTTGTTTACATCATCCGTGTTCACATATTGTACGAATTCCAGCAATTCTTTCGCTTCTTTGTCTCGCATCTGTCATCTGTGAAAGTCTTTGGTTTTGTGTATGGCTTAGTGCGACACTTGCGGTCTTTCTCTTCCTCATGAATGTTGTTGAATGCTGACAAAGTCGCTTCTTTCTGGAGTCCTGAGTTATACTAATGAAATCCCAATCTCTTCACGACAGGCAACAGCCTTATTCGGTCTAAAAGGCCTTTCGCATATGTCTAGCACTAGTTTGTTGAGTCAGCGGCGATGTACTTTAGGTTGTCGCTTATTAAAATCACAAAGATGTACATGACTTTGCAGTGTTCAAGAAGTACTTCGGTTCCGAAAATGTCAGAAATCGTTGAATTGCGAGATCATTATCTCGCAGTAAGCTTTTAATTAGCGCGCACTATCCATTTATTGCTGAAATGGCACCATGTCCGCAATATGCTATAGTTGCAGTTACTTACTTTTTAGTAGAGTTGGCAATAGTATTTTATTTCGCGAGCTAAATGCTGGCTGTTTTTTTATAGAATTCCTTGTTAACATCTCGTCGATCCTTTTGTATTAGCTGTCCTTCTTTACATCAAAACCACCTGACTACTGTTTGTTGTTATCTCTCTATTTCCTTCAACTGATTATTGTTCCTGTTAGTCGTAAACTGTAGCCTTTTCATAAGTCATTATTCGTTATAAAAGAGAGGAAAGATTATTGAGACTTGATAAAGTTGATCTAATTCTACCGCATATTTCACACTATCGCAGTGATATTCTTGTGCTTTCCATAAAACTTTGTGAACTGTACTGGTATTGGATGTCTGAGTGGGGGAGGGGTGCGACGCTAAGCCGAACTTTCGCATCTCTATTTATTTCTGTTTGTACCGAGATGTGGAATTTTGGAACTTAACTTGTAATGTTTGCACTAAGCACTAATTTTTGAAGGTGACCTATTTATCCGTTTTGTTTATACTTAATGGTTATCAGAATCTATGATTGCTACTTTAATGAAAGACAAAATTTACTTTTGTTTTTAGTAATCGTTGTTTTTTTTTATGATTTTGAAGAGTCGAATTACTAGAGCATTTTGACATCGTAGATTTTGAAGCCTAATGGTAATGGTTTTTGGAGGTTTCTTTTTTTCTTTTGGAAAGAAGCTCAGGGGAGTACGATGCTAATGTAGCCTACTAGTCCATGTATGACATCTTCTGTTATGATTGTATACTGTGTTTTTTATATTGTGCTACAATTAAAACAGGTTTAAAGTTAAGTTAACCAAGAGCAAGTGACCAGAATTCCTTGTTTGTTGTTTACGAGTAAGTGAGGACTTGTCGTTCACTAATAAGTCGACATATGATTTGTAGTAAGCTTTGATGATTCCCATTGTTCCATAGTGTTTCACCGGTAAACTTTTCAAATCAGTGCCGATTGTATTTGCTTTATCAGCGGCTTTCTCTGTACCTTTAATGCTGGACTACATCACGTTTTTCAGTGAAACCAGAAAGAAATCTGGAAAATACGAAAGTATTTCTACAGTAATTTCATCGTTGTTTACTGCAACTTTTCTGTACTAATTAATTCATTAGCGGATTGAAGTTTGTTATTTCAGGACGTGCTGGAAAACATGGCAAATCGATTACATTCCTCACGCCGGACGATAGTGCGGTGTTCTACGATTTGAAGCAGTGTTTAATGGAGTCTCCAATTTCTACATGCCCTACAGAACTGTCGAATCACCCCGATGCACAACAGAAACCAGGGACGTTCACCACTAAAAAGAGACAGGATGAGACGTTGTTTAAGTAATTTGAAAGTGACGTCGTATTGGGTTTCCTGTATATTGTTATCTTCGTCTGTTCTTCAGTTTAAAATTGTTTTCAATCAATAAATCATGTATCAAAACTGTTATACGTTCATTGTTGTATAGGTGGGGGGTATCATCAAGTTTGGCTGCAAGTGGTCTCATAATGTTTTACCTGACTCTTCATCTCATTTCCTTAAATCCCGATTGAAATTGGCGCAATGAAACTGAATAAAAAATATCCCGTTCACGATATTTTTGTCACAGTGTTGCTATTTGCCCACATCTATATTGTTTTTGCTGTCTATTTTCGAGAAGTATCATGCGTCTGAGAACAGTTTATAGTTTATACTTGTACTTTTTCATACATGTTTTAGCACATATCTGGCGCCGTAGTGATTAAATCCTATTCCCTTCATTCCCCTGCCTTGATTGTTTGTCGCGAATGGCGGACGATGATTGGCCGTCTCAGAGATTTCGTGATCATGTCATCAATCGATTGTGAGTTACAGGATATTGGTGATACTTTTGTTCTTGTCGGATCTTAAACTTTTACTTTTGATCTTGTGTGTGAAACAAGATGAATATTCTGGTCATCTTCTCTAATGACATGAACAGCACCGTTACTAATTAAGAATTGGGAGAGAGTGCCTTTTTGTTGTTAAGCAATCTTGCTACCTTTCCACTTCATTCAATGGAAGCTAGTGAATTTATGGTATATTTTTTGTTTCGCTTATGTTTCTTTACTTTTATCGCCATTCGGTTTGAGAGAAGGGTATTAATTTTTGTCTTTATTTTATTTTGTATGAAGATCCTTCTTTCCATGAGTCATTCCATATTATTGCGATTGGTAGGAAATTTGGGGCACGGTGATATTAACGGCCATTTCTCGGCCACAAGGATTTGTATTCCACTTGTAATCTGTGCTTTTAGGTATAATTACTGCATTTTTAAGGGAACCAGAGTTGGCCCGTAATCGACAGAATGCTCCAAACCTACCTGTACCAGGTGATGCTCGTCAAGTGGAGGAGTATGTATTTCAAAAGTGCCTTAGCAAGGACGAGTACATGCGCACTATTGCGAAGGTAATATCAAATTACAGCAAATAAGATATCCATAGTGTTAGTTTTTTGTGCTTTAAAGATTCTCGTTATGAAACTTACTTTCACAGTCTGTTTTTTTTTTGTGACCGTGTGCTTGATTTATGCTGTAGAAACTGACGGACTGTGTGGACTGCACATATTGATTCCGATGCGCATGCTTTTCACTGGTCCATTTCGCGGTACAGGGTTTTTTGCCATTTTTTAAATGGATGTGTAGCCTGTAAAACGCATATTTTCTACTGGGGCCAAACCAACATCAGGTATTCCAATGCATTTCAATTGCGAGGAGTCGTTTTCGGATGGTGAGATGGAGTCCGTTGATATAAAAAGCTTGGAAGCGATACACAAATATGCTTCATATATTACATAAAACGATGTGGAACGGTGATAACACTGGGTAAGTAATGGAGTTTTTTCGTCATCATACACAAAACGGGCCGCCCACGCGAATTTATCGCGAATGAGTTAGTTAACGTATAAAGATTTAATTTTTTGGCAATTATTCATTCTTGTTTGTTAAAACAAGTTGAATGTAACGATTCTTCCGTACCACGTTTTCACATGGCCGGTAGATCATAAAGGTTTCTGTAACTGATCGGCTGGCATTGGAGCGCAAGTGATGTGCTCATCAAGATTAAAATGTTTCTTAAGACCATCGTTTTCTCGCTCGGTCCCTTCACATATTTTTCGTGTCTTTCTAAATTTTACGTATCCGATATGTTCTTTCGTATATCTTCACATATTCTAGGCACTTCTATACAATCCAACTTTTCAATGTGGTTAAAAAAGAAGTTTGTCCCTTGCCATCCATTAACTATGATGTTATTGACCTTCTGCATGGTTTTGTGTGGTACTACAAGTGTCTGTCTCGTTTTCATGCTTTTTATATCCAGCGATTCGTATTCCAACGTCCGAAACTGGTTTTTGGAAGCAAGCCTGAGAGTATCTACCCATGGATTAGCCCCAGTATGAAATCTGTGTTCGACAAACCATACGTTGACTAAAAAGGGTTGTGAAGGTGTTATATGATCGAAAAGTATTGCATCTGCGTGAAAATACTCAATGGGAAGCAGTTTTGGTCAACCCTGTGTACTAAGTAGCTGTTACAAAAACGTTTAACCCTTTCACGACCGCGGCCAGTTTCGCATTGCCGACCGTGATTGGAATGTACCCGATGTACGCGTTGAAGTCAAGGTGTGCGGCAGTGAAAGGGCCAAGTCTGCTACGTTGAAGTGGTATTTTCTTCTCTATTATTGTTTCTTGTTGTTTTCATTGTTGATAGAGTTGTGCCGTAAAAACATTAAGGGAGACGCACCTAGTTTAGAATATGCCTATCTTTTTGTATTTTGTTGTTGGAAGAGTATACTTTGTGACTTATATTTTGAAATGTTTCAACACTGTTTGGAGTGCCATGTTTTTACTTCTTCGCAGTACAACCACATCGGATTCATATATCTTGCGCACATTTCGTTATCGGTTAGAAATGTTCGTACATACATAATCGATGAATTTTCGATTTTAAGGTTATTAATGCCATCAACTGCAATTCGAAATCGGCAGCTGTTCCATCCGTTCTTCAGCCTTCATTCCACAGCCCACCATGCTCTGCTCCTAGTGTAAATGGAACCAACACAAATTCCACATCTTATCGAGCGTCTGTACCACCAGATCCACAACCGACACAGGTTAAATTGTATTTCATGGATACACTTAATTCTGCCTCAATTTATCTTCCGAGATGTAAATTCAGACACGAACTCAAAACCAGTCGACATCTTCGGCAATGCCACAGCAACAGATTCCTCTTCAACAACAACAAGCGGGTGTTGTGGTGGGACATCAACAGTCCGCATTTCCTTCAGCTGACCAGCAACGTGCACCTCCAAGTTATGCTAGTCCACCACTTGGTCAACCACCACCACAGATGCAGCCAACTGGTGCACAGTCTGTACCACAACAACAAGTAAGGAATACTTCATATATATATATATATATATATTTATATATATATATATATATGCTTGTATGTATGCTGGGTTGCTGGTTCTAGATTCTTTCCCTAAGCCTGCGGCCTCTGCTAGTAATGGCCACCTGTCCTTCTAATTGTTTTCGAGCAATTTCACTGAACCCTTGCGAGTTCTCCTGTGGAGTGGAGCTTTTGTCCAGTGGTTTTTACTCTCTGTGGAGACTCGAAGAGCATCAGAATTTTACTGTGGGTTCTTATTGGAGATCTGGGACCTTGGGTAATAACTCTTGTTCATCGATCTATCATCCCCAAAACGCATCATATATTAACCTTACCCGATTTATGTCACCTTGAAGTATATGTCTCTGATTATTGATGGTCGACATAGATTGGAACGGCATAGATTCGCATTCACATTTCAGTGGTACTTTTAGCTTCAGCATGCGCCTAAAAGGTGCATGATAGAGCTTTCGCCATTGATCAGTCCCTGACTGAATCACCTTGCATTCGAGTTGGTCAAAGATCGTTAAGAGGGTTGAATCCATATGTGACCCGCTAGCCTACTGGTGTATCAAATTAGTGTCGCCGACTTACAAAACAATTCTGGTACTAATACCTTATTGGATTATTAAATTAACGCGAGGTTGATAAAAAGGTTTATTCGGCTAACTTTTTGACGTCTTCATTTTCTTTAGAGTCGTATTGATATGAGTCAGTGATCCACAGCTGGTCACTTTCTTGATGTGGTTGTTTGTTGTTACGTCGAATCGAATCCAGTGGAGGTACATCGGACGTATGGTTCATTTCACTCAGTTATGTCCTTTTATAGAGGACGGGCGTTGATCGATTGCCTCTATCAAATATTTTCTACTTTGGGCGGGCAATTAATCATTCAGCAAAAATATAATTCTGGTACCAATTTTCCGACCTCGGAGGAATGGAACATTTCGTGAACCACTGCGCAGGATCGAACTAGCGACCGCGTTTGCATTGCAGGACACCTCTAAGACCCATGCAACACGCATCCTGAATCTGTCTGTCGAGAACTCAGATTCAAGTACGTTTACATTGTAGGTACAGGTCTTTCTAGATTTAGGCAACCTAGAGTGGCCTTGAGATTTTAACCGCGCTCTCTGTAATCGTCCTACCTAGCGCAACCGCACGGGGGGTTCTTTCGGGTTCAGTAGAGTGAGGCCTGTTTATTTTACTGTTTTTAGCTTTTTCATAGCTACATATAGCTTACTGAATATACTCACGAGTAGTGCCAAACCGGTGCAGCAGAAACAGAGATTCCGTCCACTGGATCCACCTGCGCTTCTGGGAATCAGAGATCGTCTTTGGTCGCGGTTAACCCCCTAACCCCTACGTGGGTATGCACCACTTTGCCTGGCGACTACCTGGCATGGGATGCTTCTGTGAGTGAGGTCCGTTGATCACGATCTCAACTAATTCACATCGGATTTTATTCTATCGCTACTTTGTATGACGTTGTCGAACGTGGCCGTAAACAGCTTTGGATACATGGTATTATCTCATCGAACACAGTGAGTGACGTGAATATACACGCAGATCAGGCTCTTCGGCCAACTGCTTTTGTGGAAAAAGACCGGCAGAAGAGAGTTTGTCTCCTTTGCGACAACTTTCGTCAAAGGCTAGAGACAGTTGGGTATCCCGCGTTAGACCCAAAATCTTATCTGATTTTGACCTTTTTTGAGCGGTCGTCTAATCTTGATTTTTTTCGAGTTTCTTTTGGCGAGAAGCGCTAATCGGCCAACTTAAACTGGAATTGAAACAGTTCATCGCCTCATTTTGTGAGGAAGTGCAATCCGATCGCTTACAGAGGAACAAGAAACCGATCAACGTGGTTATTACCTCATATATTGAATCAAAGCTTTGGAATTAATTTTACCATTAAGGAAGGTGGAAAAATTTCAGGAATTTATCTGTTTCGGTGTTTGCATATGCCTTATGTGTATGTATACCTATGTATATATATGTATATATATATATATATACACATACTATATATATATACATACATATACATATAAACGTAGGTAAGCATATGTATATGTATATACATGTTCATAGATATTGTCGCAAGGAGGATGCTCTCCTTACCAAATGTTGTCTCCTCAGCAGTCACAGCAGCAACAGTTGTCTTCCTATGATTCAAGACTACAAAAGCCGCCAAAACAGGTTAGTGATAATTTCAGGGAAATGTTTTTTTTTCTTTGTTTTTCGGCAAGATTGGTCTACATACTTTTAACCTTAGGCGTGTTTACCTGTTCTTGTATAGGAACCTTTACCTCGCAGTTGGGATGGTCAAGGAATGCATTATCTAACGCCACAACAGCAATGGAGCCAACATCCTGTGTACAATCAGACACAGCAGCAACAGCAGGTTAACCAGAGTTTGTGAGAGTACTAAGATGGTATTTAGTTTAGTGGGCGAATTCGAATTCAGCAATCTTGTTCAAAATCGGAACCTTCATCTACTGTTGGTGTTAATGACGTATTACTTAATTTTTTGTTTTAAAAACGATACACTGCAGATTCCACCTCACCAGGGACAGCATCATGGGCAGCAACAGCCTACCAGTGGACAATCTACTGTGCTCGAAGCGCTTATAAATCAACCGCAGTATCCCTCAACTCCTCATCAGGCAAGTTTCTAGATGTTTGACTGAGTAGATGGGATGAAATGACGGTTTTACCATTCTTGATTTACGACCCAAACCTATCTCAAATACCAATATTCTAATTGTTTGAACTGCTAGTTCTTTTAATGTGGACTAAGCATGTTTTGTTCTTGGAAACAACGCTTAGGTGCTGTTGGGTACACAGGATCCTGACGTGATGAAGGTGTTGACTAAAGTCAGTAGATCACACAGATATCTCCTCGAATAAGTGGGTGCTCTTTTCCACCAATTATGTGTAGCACAGCGTTTTAGAAAAGCTGTAGCCATTTTGTTTTTACCTGAATGTTTGCTTTAAGTTATTGCCCTTGTTAGTTTTGTTAAATAGATATAAGGTGAAGTCCCAGTCGAATAGGCCCTAACCTCAGTTTGTCTACATTGAAGATACTTTATGAACTTCTTTTTCCAAGTTGTTTGGTTTTAATTTCATTTCCTTGGTTTACTGAGTTTTCCCATAACATTGTCACTGTTCTAATGGTACATGGAACTTTGACAACGTTCTTTACAAAGTGAAAGTTTGGTGGAAATTTTGCATCTCATCAAACCTAACTTGTAAACTATTCCACACACTGTAGTTGTGAATAGCTTTGAAGAAATGATGATTCCCTGTTGAATCTATTTCCTTGCACTTCAAATAGTCCGAAATTAACAGGAAACTTTATCTTGTTTTGCGTGTGGTAAATTTCAAAATTTCAGTAAATCAAAAATAAATTAATTTATCAGCTTTCATTTTCTTGTAGGACGCTTTTAATTTTTTCTTAGCATATTTTGAATAGATGGCCTTTGTTTTAATGTCACAGAACAATTTTCCCAGTAGGTATGGTTCAGTACAAAAACAAGCGGTACCCATTCTGGTCTCCATTGTGCTAGCTGTAACAGGGATTGTTGTCCTCTTATTTTAAATACTGTTTGTTGTGGTCTTAGTTTAGTATTCTTCGTATTTAACAGTGTTGTTTTTAACCACAACAATTCTTTTATATACCTTTTGAATTGTTTTGTATTTTCATGAAGCCTTTAAGAATTATAGAAGTAAAACCTCCTTAACGTACTGATAATAACGTGGGCTGTTTCATAGTTATTCAGGTTTTTGTTTCATTTCGAGTTACGGGAATCAGAAGCTAAGAGAGTGCATTAGGCGAGAATATATTTTGCGAAGACCTGCTGGTTAGAATTCATGACGGTACGATCCACACTTCGCTTTTGATGCGACATGGTTCCGTCATCTGAAAGGTTTTGCCCAAATAACTAGCAACATCAAAAATTCCAATGATGAGATAAAAGTCAAAGTGCTATCGAGGCGATGTCTACACTTCTTGACTAATTTAAATGGAAGTGGTTTTTCGGTAGAGTTATGTTTGAAGAGGACAGGTGGTTCGCTTATGTCAATATCAAACGGAAGAAGCAATGGCTGAATCCTGTCCACTTCCGACTCAAAAAAACTTGTGCTGGGTTTAAGAAAGATGTTGCTTCATGTTTGGTGCGACATCGAGTGCTTTTTTAATAGTTAGGATCCAAAGCTGGTTTTTCGCAAGTTGTCGATAATTCCTCGATAACGAAAGTATTTGAAGGGTTTCGAACAATAGTTGGCTTATGGAAGAGGTTCTTTAAAACTGTTCTTTATTTTTTTCAGTTATTTAGGATTAAAAAGGAAAATGACATTTGATTTTTGAAGACTTACGTGTAATCCTGGGAAACACAAGCACTATTAATCATTTGGAGAAATCATCGAGTTCTAATGAATGAAATTTCTTTTGTTCAGTTGCTTTAATTTTTGAGATCCGAACAAAATCCACAATATACGTTTGGTGAGCTTCAGATGATCAGAGTTTCATCGACGTAAAACGAGAGAGCTTTTACATTGTAGGCAAAAATTTGTAGACTCAAACACTTTTGCTGCAACTAGTAATGTTCACTTTAAGCTGAGATATGATGGTTCAGTGTTGAGACCGGCTGTTGTTTTCACATGGTATAATTGGAAATCAGCGCACGTTAGACCTTAAGTGTAAATTTATTGTTTATTAGAGGTGAGTTTAGCCATCATCTTAGAAGTTCACTATGAACAGGCAAGTGTTTGGTTGAGAAGAATTTTGCTGTATTTGGCCTGCAAATATTTGTAAACAACGAGAAAGTTTGTTACATCATCGAACCTTAGAATTAAGAATTCCACCACAGAATTGAGAAATTTCCCAATATTCTATGCTTCGCACTTGGTTCTGTGTCATCTGTCATCCATGCTTCTTTCTATTGCATGAAAATTTCTGGATTTCATTCTTTCTAGAGATATCTCTTGTTTTCTTTTTTAATCGAAATATTATAATTACTACAATAGGGTAACATTAATCGATAGTTTCAATGGATGTGTTTTTGACTTGAGTTCTTTTTCATCAATTAGTCGTTCTCCTATTTGATAGTCTACATTTCCTGGAAAGCTGTTTTAGCCATATGTTGTGGTACATTCACGATTGTGTGTCTTCTTACGTACCACCACTAATTCGAAGAAATTAGATTTAATTGCCGGCTGCCTAACAGTATGGGTTATGAATTGATTTTTCACAAAATTTAAACTTAACGAGTATTCGGTCAGTTTAGTATATAAATCCTGTAATTCTTTGTAATTTTTAGTTTAGCCAGGTGACTGATTTGTACGAATCAACGGCTAATGAGTGTTAAAATCGTACTTTGCAGCACTGGAAGTAAAAAGTACATACTGCTGAGAGTTAGTGAGTATTATTAAGAGCATCTATAATTACATTGTAGTCATGCATAGGACGCTATTAGTTAATTGGTACTTTGAGCTCCACAAACCTCTAAACAGAGAGAATTCGGCATTCTTTTAGCGTTTATGTTTAGATTTTTTGTCAGCACATTATGTTTAGACTAGAGTAATTTGACTGAAATATTTCCCCATATTGTTGACAGAACTCATATGGAACTAGTCAAAACCATTTGCTTGCTTATTAATAAGTTTTCTTGAAATTGTGTGTAGTAGCATATTTGTGTAAAAGCTTTGCACAGGTGCTTTGAGCTTCATTTCTGGGATCGACTCTGCAGTGTTTTTGAAATAAAAAGGAAATCATCTGGGAAAACGGCATTAACGTTTTGTACATTCGCCAACCTCCCAGCGGTTTACCGCCTGATTGTGGCTAGAAGGTGTTCCTGGGTGTCGAGCTGCGATGTAAAGAGGGGGCATTCATCCTCCCAACAAGACTTCCCAAGCTGAGAACGAACCTGACGTTTTCATTAGGAAGGAGACCCAGCTAACAGTAAACCAATACCAGAATCCCCACCGTCCTAGTATCGAACTAGTGACGTGGTGACAAATCTCCCCCGGATCCACAGAGGCGACGACAGCCTGTGGTGGTGAAGACCTGGGGCAGACTTGCCCGGGCTGACCTCGGGTCTCCAGAGAGCCACAATGGCTAAACCAGCAAAACTTCGGAAAAATGGAAATTGTGCTGAGGCTCGCGCAAACAGTGATGACAGGCCATTAGGTATCCAAGTGCATTTCGCTGAAGATAGTGAACGGTTGATATCGAGATGGCAAATTAGTTTCTCCAGAGGATTAGAGTTCTACTACACTATTTTTTGGCATGAAATTCGTTGTGTATACTTTGTACGTAAAAAGGGAGTTGAAATCTGAAGTTTTTTCCTCATTTTTACGATGTTTTCACATTTCAAACAAGATACAAACTTCAATTGCTATTTTTGATTGTGGTAATGTGTTTGATATACGGCCTTTATTGTGCCGTCGTTGTATATTATTCGTATATATGTTTACTTGATGAATTCACGTTGAAGTGGACAAGCATACGATTAGAAATTCATGTGAATTCTGCGGAATTGCTCCTAGCGTTTTCCAAAAGCCTCCAGTCATTCCTTGTTCACGGAATAGCTTTACCATATTCTTTCTATTGGAAGGTTACCCGTAAGTGAATTGCTTCGGTTTTGTGAAAAATCCTGAAAAACTTCAGATTAGTCGTCATCCCCATATGATGATGTCCGGCCCTGGTGCACCGATGGGTCCCGGAGGGCATCTTGGTGGCTCTTTGGATTCGCAGCCTGATCAACAACAAGTCTACAATCAGAAATTGCGAATGCTAAAACCATATTGCGAAAATCTCAAGTAAATTTTGCTGTTTTCTCATTCTGACGAGTTCCCGTCGTACTCAACTGGTATACCGTTATTGCTTAAGGTTACGTGCACAGCAATGTCGGATGGAAGGGAATACAGAGGCGGCGCAAAAGCTCGAAACAATGCTTGGAGTTCTAGAGGGTAGACGTGTGGTTAGCTTGGAGTATCTCCTCAATCTCGAAAACTGGATCCACAAGAAGGCAGACTTTCTGGTTGGCCGTTTCTTGAAATTATTTTAATAATGAGCAGTGAAGAGACCGTCAGTATAACGCTATCGAATACAAATAGTTTAACGTGATTTTCTTCACTTCATATATCGGCGAATAATACCATCGTCTAATTGTAATGTTAATAAGTGTACTGTTTTGCGAAACACGAAAGTGTTTTGAAAGGAATAATATTTATTGATTTCATTTGTAGTCTTTTTTGTTTGACGATTAATTACGAGTACTTCGTTTTACTCGATGTTGCTGTCTAGTGGGATGGAAAGTAGACAGCGGCTACAAATAAATTTTCATTTTCCAGGCAGCAACAACACATCCACATCCGTCTGTTGTACAAAATGGCCATATGGGTATGGCTGGGCAAGGAATGGTTGATGGCATCAATGCTGTGCTGAACACATCTTCCGAGCACCATCCCAATTCCGTGTATGGCACTCATGGAGCGTATGTTCCTCAAGCTTTGCACCAAGGAACCTACTCTCATATGCATCCGCAGCAAATGTGGCCACCACAACACATGCAACAGCAGGGTTTGTGCTTAGCTTATTCAGAGATATGCAGTCACTATGCTACCAATATTATTGATGTAATGTTCTCAGGAATGATGGTTGGCCCTCCGATCAACCAGTCTGGAGGAGGCGGGCCAATGCAGACGTACAGAGAGTCTCCGGTTGAACATCACCGACCGTATCCCTCCATGCGACCGCAATTACGTCCACCTCCTGTCGTCCAGTCGATGCAGTCTCAGTCGTCGGTTGACCCACCGAGGATGGGAGGTTCTACCATAGATGCCATGATAAACACCCAGCCTACTGTAGCGGGCCTTCCTCCATGTTAATTTTACTCTACTTATTCGAAATTAATTCACGTTTATATCGTTTTTTAAATTTGTATATTCCAGCGTCGAATATAGCGATCATTGGGAGGAATACAATACCGCTTTCATCAGGTCCTGCGACTTCAACAACTACAACCCATGTCGTGAGCTCAGTCGGAGGGAATAGTAGTACCGGTAGTTCTGGATCTGCTGAACAGCCGGGTATTGACGATTTATATAATATGGATGATTTTTTGCCCACGCCATTGGAAGCAGTTGGCAGTATGCAGGGATCCGGGGTAGGCTTCAACACTTTTCGTCACCGTATCGCTAATGATTTTCGTTTCTTTTTTAGAACAGACCATCACTGCCTGAAGCCGCTCGTCGTGAATTGTCACAGTTATCAGACAGGTTTGAATTCGACAGCAACGCCGAATCGCGTCATGATCCCCATTCTGCTCTTGTGAACTGCAAAATGAGTGAGTTGTGTTTCAGTTTTTGAACAAAAACGAAGGCAATATTTAGGCAAATGCTTATTTTTGGGATGTTTCGCTATTGGTTAGTTGGAGTTAGTTAGGTATTTTTTCTGTGTCCAGTCACAATCAACGTATGCATTCATCAATTTTTGTTAGCATTCCATCTGTTCTGTTGTGCCGTAGTCGAAGTTTTATTAGGAGGCCAACAGGTGCCAGCTTTACGTTTGGTGATACCGTTATCATATCCAGCTGCGTCTGTTACTGTCGATCGTGCTGCAATAGATTTGGGTTAGTTACTACTGTTTAATTTGATTGGAACGACAGTATTGTGTGTTGGCACACTTTTATGACAGTCACTTCAGACGCATTTTTCTACGACGATTTGCAAAACGTTGTGCATGAGCGACTTGCGCGTCCTGGTTTGCATTCAATCACCGAGTTCCTCAACACTTGGGTAAGCGCTGGGTTATTTTATAATACTGTGCAATATTATTGAAAAAAGCAATAACTCTTGTTTAGGAGAGTACTGTCCGTCAATATACTTCGAGTCAGAATAATGTAAGCACGAGCATTCCATTTGAGGAACTTTTCCAAAACTATGACAACATCATTACCTAATCGTCCCACTGTCGTGAATTCTTTCTATATTGATACCATTTAGTACATAGTGAAGTGCTGCCTCTAATTGTATAGTCCGTCGTCGTCTTTGGGTGCGACTTAGTTCTCGTAAATCGCCGTGTTTGGGGAATAAGCTATTGTTATGATGATTCGATCGCTCCTTTGTCTACCTTGTACAGTTGGTTTTCTCGTTCAGTCAGTTGTACTATTGTACCTTTCACCTGTAGATTGTTAGTGATGACATCTCTTGGTGCTGTCACACTTACTGTTGTTGCAAGTCAATTTAGTCGATTTATCTGTGTTGAATTTATGTTGAAATTGTCATCTCACTGCAATTGTGCAGTGTTTAACCGCTACAGTTTCTATTTATTCTCCTTTTTGCGAGTATTTTATATATCATTACGGATAGCAGGACGAGTTCTCCGGTTTGCGCATGTCATGCCTTTCGGTCAGTGGGGAAGTTCGCTGAGGTCATCGTGGTGGTTGTGTAACTCTCGCTTTGATTTTATAATTCTTACTTAGAACCACAGAATCAATCATGCGTACGGATCCCGCTTTGATTTGGTATAGTCATCCAACCGTTCTTTGGATTCCGCTCCACCACTCGTTTCACCATAGGCCCTGTGATTTAGATTTACAAGTGAATAGTCCCTGCACTATGCAGCACCTCATCAAGCCCGGCCTCCTTCAAACAACATCGATTAAACGCGGTGTATTCCTATTTGAAATAGTTGCTCTTTTTTTTTTCGATTCTTCCAAATTGTCCGTATTTTATCTAAGCCATTTTTTTTCCGATATATCTGAGATTTGAATATTATTAGTGGCTATGATTCTATTTCATACGTGATATCAGAGTGAATTTACGTTGTCACTGTTCAAAGACGTTGTTCAATGAAAATAGAGGTTTATTAGAATCAAGTGTTTCTTAAATATAAAGATAATTCATAAAGGGTTTGAGGCGCAAGTAAGGCAGTGTAGTTATGGTGGTTAATGTCATGAATGAAGAGAAATTCGAAGGACGAAATCAGACTCGGCTGCTGGTCATCGACACTGGAAGCAAAGCGCGAAGAAGGCGCCACTCACAAATCCAACTGTAGCGATGCAGGCTGGTCTAGAATGCTTTCCATTTATGGTGACGTTTTCATAAAATCTAGTTTGGAAGTTGAAGCTTTAATGCTTATGCTAAGCATCTGAATCGCTTTGACCGCTGTGACGTGCCTCGACGAGGCCAAGAACCTAATCAACATAGTTTTCAGGGAAGCAGGACATCCAGACTAGAGTGACTTAGTGCTCAATTTATACGTTTAAGAAGTGGAATACGATAATTGTTAGTGGAGGCGAAAATGATAGTTAATTTGTTATTCTATGGACAGTAGTTGGATACTTGCACAAGAGGTTGCGGACTGTCTTGAGCAAGGAAGTAAGTGTGGTAGAGTAGGTGAAACTTCAACATTTAGATCGCATAATCTAAGAGACAAGAAGACTACCAAATAAAAAATGAAAACAAAAAAAAGAACGAGTTGGGATTAGTGACGAGCACAGCGAGTTTCGATAATTTCTGTACTCCGTTGTAATATTTGTCCCAGCAGTATAAAAGCAATCTCTGTTTGTAATTGTCAGGTGGTCTTTAGATTCGGTATGGACGGAGCCAAAGTCAACTGTGATCACAGCAAACGACACGAAAAAGAGTTCAAATAAGAACAGTGTTTAACTTTCTACTTACTGTCTATTATTATTTCATGCTACGGTGTGTGAAGTACACCCACAATGATGCCAATGCCAGAGGTGTTTGAAAAACTCGAACTTTCGGCTAGCTTTTAACCCACGATTGCCTTTTCCGAGTTTAAGTGTTAGCCGCTACACCACCGACCGTTGTTCTGCTATCCTCTCAACCAGTTTTTTTACGCTCGGGGTGCCATCAGCAATCATTCGTCAACAAGAAAGATCTAGGGAGGGCAAATCGGCATTGAATCCAGTTAAGCTGAGGAAGCAGATGAAAAGCAGCCACAGTGATGGTGAGGTATTTGCAAGACTCGGACCCAGACCAGTATTGAATCTGTGGTTAACCTTTCGTGGAGCTCACGTGCTACCTACTGTACCACCTACGCCCTTGGTTTGCCTTCCTCTAAGCTATTTTTTTTCAAACGGTATCGTTTTCAAAGAGTATCTCCAAGATCGGTAATTGCGGGTTCGAAACTGACCTGAGATCCGAGTTTTACAAATATCACATCACTGTAGTTCAAATAAGAATGTACTCATTACAAGAACTAATATTGGTAAATCTGCGTCTCTAATTGATACGCTCGATCGGTCGGTTGAAAGCTCATTTCCTATATTTTCCACTGCCAAAAAAAATGATGTTCTTTTCAATCGTCCCCTATAAAAGCACTCCACGTAAGGAGACCATATTTTAATCCATAGTGTGGGATGCTGATTTTTTAATCACTGATGTTACTTTTCTGGTAAGTGGAATAGTTGAGAACCTGAGAACTTGACAGTATTATAGAAGCTTTGCTCTGTCGTCGCTCTGGATACATAAGTGATATTTCTAAAATGTTGCCTTGATTTTTTAAAATTTTATTTTATGTGATCCGTCTTCACGTCTACTGTGTCGATCCTAACATTCGATTCGTTTCGTTGTCCAAGAAGATCTTCTTTTACGTGTGGTTGCGATTAAGAATTTTAATTTCATCTTGAATGTCGTAGGATGCTGGTCGAGCAGTTCTCCCTGGAGTCCTGAGATAGCCGGACTGGAGCGTTCCCAATTGTATTGCAAAGAATGATTTTTTCCCAGACAACTGCGGTACCAACTTCCCGAGCCCGGAGGGATTAGGGGCGTGGTTGACCCGGCTTGCACCATACTCGTTATGACGGACATCACTACCACTGTGCTATCCGCCCCTTGTTTTCATTTTATATCTGTTTAAATTGAAATTCATGTGAAATTGCAGGCGAAATTATTATTTTTAAAGTTGTTTACGCATGTTCGGTAGCCACAAACACCATGATACACAATGTTTTATTCTGTTCTACGAAATCCCTACTGTTCAACCACTTTGGAAATACGAGCCCCGAAGAGAAAAAACGAAGGAGATACGTCTTATCTTCTATGAGAAATCAGATTTTCACCTCAGTAAGATTGAAGAGGTTGTCTAATAGGCAAAGATTTCCAGATTCTATCGAGGTTCTTCGATGTATACGCTCCAATATACTCCAAAAGCGAGACGCTGAGATCGTCAATTGTAACTTCAAGGCCGAAATTACCCATGGTAATGCACAATGTATGCACTAAACGAACAGGAACATAAACGATACGCCATGGAGGTTGTTTCTTAGTCCTGTTCTTGAAGCCATCATCACATCAGATTTGACGTAATTGCCCTCAATGAAACAAAAAGTAAGAAGACCGACATACGTCAGATAAACAGCACGACCATTGTCAGCTGCGGAGAAAAGGTTCTGTCACGAAATTTGAGTGACGTACGCTTTGGCTTCCATTTTCTATCTCGTCGACTCGTACGAGATCAATTCCTCTCGCATGGCCGTCGTCCGTCTTCCATAAGAAGATCGCTATCATTAATTGATACTCACCGACCAATTACACTGGTGGGTACGAATTAGGTGTTTTACTATCAATTGGAAGAAATTATCTGGATTGATAAATCGCATTATAAATTTGTTGTCGAAGACTTCAACATCAGAATAGGAAGGGCCAACGAACGGGAATACAGGATCGGAAGATCTGCACTGAGAGAAAGAAACTAGAATGGAAATCGTCTTTAAGGACTCCTTTTTGTAGCATGCCTCTTTCGTGGAAACTGGTTTTTTTCAGAAGAAAAAAATCCTCTGCTTGACATGGGAGTCTCCTAAAGGTACGACTCGTGTGGAGATCGACTACATTCTCATGAACAGAATGTGGTGCCTGCTTGACAGATTGGTAGTCTTATCGCTCTATAATGGGCACGGTGGAGCGAAGATTTGATTCAGCCTAAGTTAGAAAAAAGCCGTGTTATGGACCAAGAAGAAGAAACTTAGCTGTACATGACGAGAACATTCTGAACGAAATCCTGTGCAAACGTGACTGATAGAAAGGAATACCCCGAGCAAGTACTACAAGGTGGTTGTGGAAGGACTTAGAAGTTGTGCCTAACTCGTCTGTGTTCCTCAAAAAAGTTCAGACCGCTACCACTAAGAAGTTGCTCAAAAAGAGAAGAAAACTAGAGCTTGACCCTTCTGCACGATGCCTAGCACGGTTGATACTAAATGTCAGCAGTAGAAGATCTTTTCAAGAGGATTTGCATTGGTATAGGCAGAACAATTTATTAGAAGGGGCTCAAGGACGATCTAGTATGAAGGATTGCCTTCGGGACATGTGCAACCATATTGTTCCACTCTCTTCCTTGATGAACGAAAATGGGATCCGTAAACCTTCTTATCACAGTGATATGGCACTGATAAAGAAAAGGTTTCTCACTAACCTTTTTGTTCCCCGACCTCTGCTCAGGGCTCTAAAATCGCCGCTGGAAAAAGACTACCTGTAATTTTTCTTCCTGAGGTTAGAGTTACGATGAGGAGCATGACAAAAGAAACAACTTCAGGATCCGATAATGTGACCGGCGATTTTCTTAGTGCTGGAAGCCACGATCTACATTTATTCTTAACAACTCATATGACATCGAATCTTCAAAAGGAAATAATCCCAGATCAGTGGAGGACGTCGCGCACAGTCAAAATGACCAAAAACGGTGACCAGAGGTTGTTAAGTGTACTCTGTAAATTGTTTACGAAAATTATCCATTCTATTGCGCATATCAAGGAAGCTGAATGAAACTCAGTCAGCTGAGCAAGCAGGAATTCTACAAGGATTTTGCTGCATAGACCACATCAAAACCGTGTTTGAAGACATAATAATTTCAATTGTTTTTATTTCACTGCCTACTTTCACTGCCTGGCAGGGTATGTTGCGAAATACAACTTCTATTATGTTGAGATATTTGCAAAACTCCGGACCGCAGGTGTAAAAGAATAGGCAGTAAAATGAAAACGGTTAAGATTGTGATTATAACTAAAGCCTCAGCTTAACTGGGTTCATTGCTGATTTGAGCTCCCCAGATCAATCCCGCTGACGGGTGATTGCTAATGATAGAGATCGATAGAACTAGCTGAGAGACAGGCGAAACGAAAGACCCGCATGGTGTGGTGGTGAACGCGTTACTCACCGGAAAGGACAATAACGCGTTCGTTCCCCACCGCAGAAACATAGCAATTTGTTGGAAATCTCATCTGCCTCTAGCCCTGACTTTCGACGACTATGAAAAAATCTTTGGCAGGGTCGAAACTAATGCAATCCTATCAAGCTCCTCGACCAAGGAACGGACCTATCCTATATAAGGGTGTTATCTGACTCGTATCGGAACTGTGCAACGAAATACAGCTTTTTCATCGACCTCTCACCATAGCCGTAAAAAAAGGGATCGACATGGCGACACCATATTGCCAAAGCTATTTACTGCCGAAATGCAATAGATAACATGCAAAATCACTGGATTGGAATCAAAGGGACATGCGTGTTAATGGAAAATTTCTATCAAATCATCGTTCCACTGACGTCATTTTCATCTTCTGGAGAAGTACCAATGAAGTAGAGACGAAGAATTCAATGGATTCGAGGAAGTGGGAGGAAAAACAGAACTACGCATAGATCGGAACAAGACCTAGTTGAGGAAAAACCCACAATCCCAGGGCAAACAAATCAAACTGGATGTTTCGCTGATTATAGAGACCACCTCGTTCGTGCACCTTGGACGTTCAGTGAACATTGAGAACAGCATGAAGGAGAAACTAGATAGATAGATAGATAGATAGAGAGAGAGAGAGAGAGAGAGAGAGAGAGAGAGAGAGAGAGAGAGAGAGCAGCACGGGCTGCATTAGCGTCACTTAAGGAAGCCACTGATCAATTAGAGGACCCGAAAATCCGCACTCACCCTTTCTATTCAACAGTCCCAGAGCTATTTTACGGAACAGAGACCTGGGCTGATATTTCAGTGACGTCAGAAGTGCTGCACACAGCTCATAGAGCGCTAGAACGATGTTTTCTAAGGTATAACCGGCACATACAATATCTAGTCGGAATGCGAAGCTCTGACCTTCGAAATCTATCACATCTTCGAGACCCAGGAGAATATAGATTGATAGCGAAACAAAGATGGGCCCTTAATATAATGAGTAGAGCAGACGACAGATGGAAGAAAGGAACTGTAGAGCGGACCCCATGAGGATACAGGCGTACCATACGACGACCATATTCATCTGCGTAAAGAAGGCTTTCGATTCTATGGAAATTGACACGGTCGTGGCAACCTAGGATATCTATAGCGCCCATAGTTAGTGAACAGAAATCATCAGAATTTTTAACGATATCAACATGCAAAAACGTGTATGAAAATGCGGAAATAAATCCACGTCAAGCGAAAACCGCATGGGATAACTCGGAAGTAAACATCAAAGGCCAGAGAAACATCATCCTCATTTTTCATAACATCAGTTCTAAGCGAGGGGTAGCAAATTGATTAATCGACAAAGAACCGATACTCGCTTGAACTCAAACAAACGTTTATGAGAGACGATTTTATTCCTGATCTCATTCACTTTCAGTGGAGAGAACGTTTTGTAGTGTTACAGCTATATGGATCTGGGGCAAGGTGTCAAAATTATGAATAGTGTAACTCCAGTTCATAGGAAAAACCCCAAAGATTTTTATGATGCTGAGATAATTGCAAAACTTCGGACCGCAGGTGTCTGCGGTGGAGAAGGAACGCGTTAATGTTCGTTCCGGGGAGTAACGCATTCACTACCACACCATGCGGGTCCTTCTCTATCGATCAGTGCCATCAGAAATCACCCGTCAACCAGATTTGAGCTCCCCACATAAATGACCTGGTGGCACCGGTAGATAGAAAACTAGCTGAGAGAGTGGCGAAACGAACAGCCCCCATGGTATGGTGATAAACGCGTTAGTACCCGGAAAGAGTAATAGTGTGTTCAGTCCCCACGGCAAAAATCTGCGGTCCTGGGTTTTGCTTTGCAAGTATCTCAGCATCACAGAAGTTATATTTCGCAACATGCACTGCAATTAAAAAGAATAGGCAGTAAATAAAAAGGTTAATATTGTGATTATAAAAATGGCCTCAACTTAACTGGATTCAATGTCGATTTGGGCTCCCCAGATAAATCCCGTTGACGGGTGATTGCTGATGGCAGTGACCGATAGAACTAGCTGAGAAACAGGTGAAACCAAAGAGTTTGATTAGGGAGGGAGGACACCACTTTCTTCCAGTTCATCGTATTATCTCTTTAGCATAAAAAAAAACTGTCGGCATTGATCAATCCCTGAGGGATGCGCCATGCATTCGACTTCATGAAGTGTCGTTGGAGGTGATTGAATGCATATCTGACCTTTACAATGACTCGCGGTGACCTACCGATGTATCGAGCCAATGCTTCTATCCTCACAGACAAGCCTGGTATCAATTTGCCGAGTCCGGCAGGATGGAGGGCATGATGGGCCTTGGGCGCGGGGGATCGATTCTACGTGTGTGTCGCAGTGGCGCCCCCAACCACTGCGTCACACGCGTCCCTCTTTAGCATATGTATCAAAAACCTTGACTTTGTTTAAGTACGGCGAATCCAATCAACTTATCCAACGCACTACCTACAGAAGTTTTTCGTATAATGCAGGAGAGGGAGGAGTGCTGGCTTACGCAGTTTACGAGAAATCTGTCGTCAACTCGTCCAAAGGCAGGTGGCTCGAACGCGTGAGCTCTGGCATGCGACAGAGAGTGTCGTGAAGATCGTTGGAATCACTCGATGATTAATGAGAACATAGATGTGGAACGATTCTTAACCTTGCCGCTTCTCTCTTTAAAGACCAGAATGTAAAAGTGGCACGTTTATATAAGAACCTCAACCATATGGAAGTTGCTTTTGGTCAAGGTTTCCCAGTTGTGTTCCACGGATCACCTGGAAACCGAGATTCTCTCCAAGCAGTTATGAATCTACCTTCTCACTCTTTCATTTCTGCATCATTATTCGAAGAATATTGCCGGAAAGACCAGAGAATAAAAATTTCCTCGAATAAAAAACGTCTACTATTCGCTTTTAGGAAATTTCTAGTGGTAAACCTTGTATTTCAAACTTAGGTCATCCCTGTCTCATGTTTACCCTTGAAGTCACTACTTCTGATATTTATAAGAGGATGCGTTTTCACGATACTTGTTAAGAGCCACACGTTCACTTTCATAGATTATCCTTTTCTAATTAATTTTCTTGGGCGATTACTTTCAATTCCTCCTAATTTGAACGACACCTCTGTTTACGGTATTCCAGCATGAGTATTACCATCTCTTCGAACAGTCGCATAAAAGTGTAGGAAACATTTTAGTAACTTAGTAACACATCTGCAACCTAATTTCCTCTTGTGCAGAGTTTGAGTCAAACATCCAAATTGTTTGTCCCACAACATATGAGTCGTCCCTGACTCACTGCGTTCAAAAGTTCATGGCAGTGGTCTGGAAATTTGATATGTGGCTTCTTGTCTAACCTCCTTGTGCGCTTTTAAAAGTGGGATCAGTTGTTGAGAACAACATGCATCAAGAAAAAATATGTCTAGAGAGGTAGAAAATAACGTACATCACCCAAAATCTCAAGCGGTTGCAGCACTCGTTTTCACAGCAGGCGTTGTACGAGAAGAAGTTGTCATCAGTTGAGTCAACGCATCTGAAAAATCGGGGTAATTTCCTCCAGCCGTCCAAATCCTCTCCCATAATCATAATGTTATACCTTTTTATTTTCTGCCTACTATAATTTCGCGGCAGGGTACTAAGCGAAATACAACCACAACGTTGCTGAGATATTTGCAAAACTCTGGACCGTAGGTGTCTATGGTGGGGAACGAACGCGCTATTGACCTTTCCGTGGAGTAACGCGTAAAAAGGTATAACATTGTGATTTCAACTACAGCCGCAGCTTAACTGGGTTCTATGCCGATTTGCGCGCCGCAGATCAATCCCGCTAACGGGTGATTGCTGTGGCAAAGATCGATAGAAATAGCTGAGAGACAGGTGAAACAAAGGACCCGCATGGTGTGGTGGTGAACGCGTTACTCCCCGGAAAGGACAATAGCGCGTTCGTTCCCCACCATAGACACCCGTGGTTCAGAGTTTTGCAAATATCTCAGCAACGTTGTGGTTGTATTCCTCTTCCATAATCGTTTACATTTTAAAGGACCTGTATTTGACAGGTTAGCGTCAAATGAATAGCGGATTTTAAACTGCACCTTTGAAAAGCTATAAATAAAAGGATAAAGGATAAAGCTCTTGGGGTTTATCAATCGCTGATGGATACGCCATGCATTCTATTTCATTAAGTATCGTTTGGTGGTAACTGAATGCGTATCTGGCCTTTACAATGACTCACGTTGGCCTACCGGTGAATCGAGCCAGTGCTGCTCTCCTCCCAGGCAAGTCTGGTACCAATCTGCCGACCCTGAGGGATGGAAGGCTTGATGGGCCATGGGCGCTGGGTTCGATTCCACGTGTGCCTTGCAGGGTGCCTCCGACCACTGCGCCACACGCGTAAAATGTAAAATGTACAAAAAAATGGATCTGCGCATGAATAACCAATGTCTTCCTTCATTGATAGGAATACACAAGAAGAGGTCAGTGTGAAGGGTCATTGTTGAGTGACACTAATTCATTCGAGCGGTGCTGCGCCGTATTTGATTCGACTCAATGTGAAGACGACGAAGACCCTCATCGCAAGAGGAAGCAACTTCTGTAGACACTCGACACCAACCGTAGCGGTTCTGAAGAAGCCACAACCGACGAAATGTTAGCCACAATAAAGATTTGTAACAACCCAGTGTAAGGTTGTCAATATAGCAAGACCATTAAAGCACCATTTTAATCCATCTAAAGTCATAGCAGACTGTAATTCAAAAGAAAAAAGCCATAGAACTTTGGCATCCTGTTGAGCAAGAACTATAAACGTTACAATAACAAAGGGTACGTAAGGGTAATAAGAAATAGTTGCAATAAATGTGTTTGCAAACCCCGTTGCAACAAATTCATAGCGTCTTCTTTGCGCCAGCCCAATAACCAATCCATCATTTCTAACACTTGTGGAGTAGGCGCACCTAAGGTTGATGATGTCGGTAAGGTAACGGGAACCCAAATATTCAAAAACCGAAAGTCTTGCAGCTCTGAGCCTTCGCTTTGGCATCGCCATATGACTAGTTCGCTCTTTTTAGCAAGAATCTTTCAAGAGATTACATTAATAAGCGACTATCTCATAGCTGTACATTTCATACCACCGCCCTCGGCCCTGCTAGTGACCACACATTGTTGACGGTGTCTTGTGATTTGCTTTATTATTCACTATAGGATTGAGCAAACGAGTAGGAACCACTGCCGTATTGCAGACCATAGTGAATCTTGGCTACTTGGCCTCCATAGTCAGAAAAGAAGAAAAACCTCTCAAGAAAAAATTTCTGTGATTAAAATCACCGAACTAACCGAATTACACATATTGTTAAGGAGAGTGGGAGTTTATTAGACGGAAAATGAGGTTCATGAAACACTGCTTCATTCAAATGAAGACTATTTGTGAGATAAATGTGCATGTGTATGTATGTGTTGTTTGCGTCCATTAATATGGATACATATGTAATGTATACATAGATATCCACATATATATGTATATGTATTTTTATATATATGTACATATATATACATATATATGTATATATAAAATTTTGCTCCCCTTTCGGAGTCTTTTCCTTTATAAGCAAGCGCGCATCTCTTTAACGTAATGGCAGTCTATCAAAGGAAGACGCTTATTTTTCCTTCCTCCGAAGGTTGCTCCACTGGCATTATGCTAATCTGTGCCCGTCACCGACGAACCCGACAATCACCTTTTATCGACGAAGTGAGGAGCACGCGAGCACAGAACGAGAACAGAACAAACTACATATATATATATATATATATATATATAGATGTATATACATATACACATTTCAGTAGCACCTATATATACACATATGTATATAGGTGCTACCGAAAAGGATTCCTGTGGTGTGGCACCACAACTGCTCTTTTCATCTGCGTTCGAACCACTGACCATGAAGTGCGGTTTGTCGTTTTCTCCTCGTCGGGTCCACCAACGTTCTCTTTCTTGCTCTTCGTTTCGCGTGTTCATCTCGTTGAAAGGGAGAATCTCAAGAAACAGCCATTACATACCTTTGATATATGCCTTGATCGTTAGAAATAAAGCAGTGACTAATGATCTATTCCTTAGTGATGAGCAGTTCACTCGGCTCCATTAAACGCTGGAGTGGTGCCCGAATGCATATTTAGCCTACATGATGAATTGCAGAGGTCTGCCGATGTATCAAATAAGTGTTATTATTCCCACAGGCAAGTCTGGCACCAATTTTGCGACCTCGGAGGCATGCAGGACTTCGTTTATTCGGGGCTATATCAGGATATATGATTCATCAAAATAAGCAGTCTTAATGGATCATGAGGAATTTCTGTTGGCACTTCGATTTGTTCGACAGTGCAACGAAATTGCCGAAGAGACGTGCTGCCCGGCGACAAGCTTGCGGTGACATCAGGAACCGAGCTTATGTCACGTGTTGCAAGAGTTGTTAGAAATGTCAATGCCAGTTATCAAGCAGGCGCTTCCTCAGAAACGTTATGAATAACAAATTGATCTCTTTCATTAAAGTGGTTGTTTAGATTGATGAAGCAAACTTGGAGGGAACGAAACCATTGAGGTAAAAAATAATTCACTCGCCGCATAGCTTCTATATCTCAGCATTGGGTCGGCTATGCCATAAAGTAGATTTAGCCTAGTGGTGGTTTATTGAAATCTTACGTTCAATGAAGATTTCTAAAGAGTTGATAGCTTCTAGGATTAAAAAAATGGCTAATAGCCGAGCTTAGCAACGCGTTCGCTAAATGACTGCTGTACTACGTGGTTTGACTGATGTTCGCCGAAAAATCCCTATTGTTATTTAAATGTACTGAACAATGAGACTTGTTAATCTCATATATACCATTTACCATTAACCATTTACGGAACTGAATCGAGTCATGAAAACGCATCCGAATGGTCGTAAAGCGCAAATCGGAAACTCGGATTTCGAATTGAATTGTTGTTGAATACTTGATGACGATGCGAATAAATGAGGTGGGACAAAATAATGTAAAAAAAAATAGCAGAATATCTTCTCGAATCCAAATAGAGCAGTTGGTTCGATGTGGTGGCTCGATGGTGTGGTAACACTGGGGTGATCGACTGTGATTCTCGAAAAGCTGGATTGCATGATACGTAGCTGACGTAGAGGCGGCTGTGCTGTGCGTCTGTTGACTAATTTCAACGTTCTCTTGGGGATGAAGGGATGTCGAGTTGGAAGCCTCGATATTCAAGAACGCCCCATGGTCCACCTCTACGCCGTGTCCGGATGTAAATGGGATAACCCCTACTGCACACTTTGTAAATATCGAGTCTCATTTCACAGAACTTTTGTTGAATTTACATATTCCAACACAGTCATTTACCTCATTTACCTGGTAAGGTTTGAGACTACAGCAATAAATCATTAGCGGAAAACATATTCTCTGTCTTCCTCAAATGGTCGGATTCTTTTTGACTACCCAGGTAATGGCCTAGAACTATGATTTCTAATGCCGTAGTAGATTTTTTTAAGAATCAATTACCTGCAGCCGTGATTCCTAATATGTTTACGCAAAAAACCTAGGATCGGTGGCTGGTCGATGTCGCTTTCCTGAGAAGTGTGCTAGCCGAGATCTTTTCTGGATGTGGATGTGACATGTCGTCGTTGTCGTCATTGCAAACTAATTTAGCACGTTTGCAGCGAATCTGCTTTTCCGAGATCAGATGATAATTTCTTAGTCACTAAAGCATGTCATGAGTTTAACACTTTATAGATTTGTACAAAAGGCTGCTCTAATGCGCATGTGTACTCTTTACACACTCCTCCATCTAATTAAATATATTAACAATTAAACATTCCAAAAATCGACGAAAATTAAGTTCTTAAAAGTTCCATCGAAAGAGCGGGAATTTCAAACGTGAATTATGCATTCTAGAACACACCATTGTGTTCTGCTCGAAAAAATCCCGTTTGTCTAATTTCATTAGTGTTTGGAATATACTGCTAGAAAAGTTGCATGCGTTCCAGAAAATCAGGATTTCTTCACAGCAAAATAACAGAACTATAAAACCCACTACATGCTGAACTAACCTACTTCAAATTTGAAAGTGACCATAATTTCTTGGGCTATATTATTCCCACACAGATCACGTTGTAGTGAACGTGTTAAGAGACACCTTCGCTACAATGTTTGATACTCATACTTTCTTGCACAATCTTTTTGACTAAGGTTCAGATACACACGTAAGGATGTCTGTCAATCGCGAAACCATGAAACTTATCCACATACGACGTAGAGCTCATCAAGACACAGGTGTTAGTGGCTTCCCAAAGGAAAGAGCGACAAAATCTGCACTGATTGTTTCATGCAACACTTAGAAGTCAGTTGTTGCATAATATTAGGAGATACGGTGACGATACACAATTCTGAGGAGCCGCTTCCATCGCATTCACCCATTTCGAGATTGCGCTGATATCAACGATGAAGCACTCCAGATTGAAGTTCGGAAATTCAATGAATGTGCATTGTTAACGGAAAATCAAGAAGTAACGGTGTCTGAGACGTCAGCGAAAAATCAAGAGCGTATTACTCGCAATTTCCGTTAACTTTTTGGTTATAGGAAGATGCCAGTTGTTGACGTTGAGCCAACAAGGAAAATCAAATCAGCCAATTCATTAACGCTTGAATACCAGCACGCCTACTACAGCGATACACAGAACGACTGCAGGCTTCCAAATTCTGCGTTTTTCTTTCTTAAAGGACCACAACACAATGAACAACGAAAGGGATCATTGGCCAGAGTGTTAAATGCTGCCAACTGTTGGCTGAAGAGCGTTTTTCATGAGGAATCAGCTGACAAGCGTACAATACGAAGCGTGGTCAAAGCAGCTTCATAAAAAACAAGCCATACTATGTT